TCCGTGCGGAGCCCCTAGGCCCTGCGGCTCGCCCCTCCTTCTCTCTCTCCCCCCTCCTCTCCCCCTTCTACCTCTCCCCTGCCTCTCCTCCCGCCTCTCCACTTGCTCGGCTCCCTCTTTGGCTGACCTTCCCTTTCCCTCACGCCTCCCTACGCCCGGCCCGGGGCCCCAGCACCCTGTCCGCTGCGGCCTCGGAGCGAGGAGAAGCAGCCCGAACCCCCGTCGCCCCCGCCGCAGCGCGGGCGGTCAGTGCGCAGCCCGGCGCCCGCAGCCCGCAGCCCGGAGCCGGATCGCGGGCTTCGACCGAACCCGACCCGACCGCCGCCCCCAGCCAGGTGAGGGCAGCTCAGGGAAGGCGGGGAGCCAAGGATCCCCCTTTACTGGAAGCGGGGGCTGGAGAGGTGCGGGGAAATTGGGTCCTTTTTCCTTCAAAGGAGGACCTGGGAGCCTTTTCCTGAAACAGGCACAAGGGCTTTCACTCCGAAGGGATGGATGGAGGGAAGGTCTAGGGGAGAGGGATTGGGGTACCCCTTTCTGGTTTTTGTTTTTTTAAACAATGATTAATTGGCTTCTGTAAAGTGGGACTTCTTGGAAGGCTGAGGGGCTTTCAAGGTAGGTTGGGGAGGGGGCTCTGGCAGGGCTTGAGGGAAGGGTTGAGTGGTGAGTGGTGGGGCAGTGGGGGTGGGGCAGCGGGGGCGCGTGGGGAAGCTCTGCGATCCCCTCAACCTGACATCGCTGCACCTCCCGCCTTGGCTTCGGGGGTGCCCAGCTCTGTGTCCTAGTTTTTCTCTTTGAAGATGACTATTTTGAGCCCCACCTGGACAGAGCCAGGAACAGCTATTTCCTTCCCTGGAGCTATGACACCCACCTGACACCCTCCCACCTCTGACCTGCTCAGGGAAGGGTGTTCAGGGAAGGACAAGGACCCAGGGATCTGGGAAATGGGCAGTGTGGGTGAAACGAAGGCTGGGTACTGGGCACACAGGAAGACCCTTGGCAACTTTGGGTGGGAGGTTGCTAGGCATAGGATGGTCAGCAGCTTCTGGGACATTACCCACTAGGAAAGCAGCGGTGTCAGGAAAAGCTAAGCTGTTTCCCATGCTCCCAGAAGACAAAACACTAGAGAATGTGTTTGCTTGGTTGTTTTTGTTTGGTTTTGCTTTCTTTCTGTCTCCTTCACCCTGGATCCCAAGACTCATTCCCCTGATCTCCTCTCCTAGTTTTGCAAAAAGGTAAATTGAGGCAAAGGACAAATTGGCTGGACATACCTGTGTCTAGGAAGGAAGAGTGACAGAGAGGAAGGCATACTGAATTTGAGTAAAAAAAAACCTCAGTTCAACGCTTCTCTCAGTGCTCCATGGGTGACCTTGGGTCAAAACGCTTTCCCTTGTTGGGCCTCAGCTTTCTTATCTATAAAATGGGAGAGAGCCACCTGTCTTGCAGGTTTGCAGAGACCATGTGTCTAAAACAACTTTGTAAAAGGGAATGCACTGGACACTTGTGAGGTGCCATGTTTACCCTCCTCCCTGCCCTCACCAAGGGTATCACTAACCCATAGGACACCTTTGTGAGAATCAGAAAAAGCACCTGTTCTGGAAAGAGAAGGCATTCAGCTGGGCTAGCAACTTGGGGTCTTTATTATGAGAATGAGAAGGCGGCACACCTTCCCCCAGGTGCTGCTCTAAAATGTGGAGTGTCAGCTAGATACCAGTTAGGATGTTCTGCACATCCACACCTGGCAACCCTTCTCAGCAGGGCCCTGCTGTCTCTAAGAGACGCAGAGCTATACATATTTCCAGGGTATTTTCTACAGAAGCCCACATCCCAGGCTGTCTCCAGCTCATTTCTCTCCTGTTTTGTTCAAGCCCCAAAGCATATGCCCTAGTAGGCAGATGGAATTCCACCATCAGAGAGTGACTCCTCTGAGTTAAGCAGTGCCTTCACCAAGTTCTCAGGGGTAGGAGTGACTGAGTCCCTAAAAACCCTTATATCAAGAACTGGACCAGATCACTTTTCTCAGGGAAACCAACAGAAGCGTCGGCATACCTCAGCACTGCCGCTGACCAACCATGTTCACACCTATCTCAGAGCACCTCCGCAGCAAGCCTGTGTGTGATGTCTCCTCCCCATTTACACAGAGGAAGCCATGCCCAGACGTTAGGGAACCTGACCAAGGTTTCACAGTGTCAGTGGCAGAGCCAGGACCCAAGCCCAGATCTGGCTGTCTGTCCTCTCTAATCCAACACTCCCAAGGAACAAAGCTGCTGACTTCACTGCCTTGCCAAAGCCCTGCTGGAATTGTTGCTCTCCCTCTCCATCCCCAGTAGCCCCTTGCTCACCACTCCTTCCTGAGTAACAGCCTCCAACCAAAGAGAAAGGAGTCACCTTCTCTTTTACTCTGACTTCATGGGGTGGGGAGGAAGCTACCTCAAAGCCCAACTATGGCCTCCTCTATGCAGAAAGGGCCCCTGGTGAGGCTCCTTCACGGCTGGCAAAGCCCCGCACAAGGCCCCTGGTCAGGGAACGGCGATTTCCTTTCCTGCTCAGATGGGGTTTAAACAGTAATGGTCATGCAGAGTGTCGACCCAGGGAGTCTGTGCCTGCGTGAGTGGCAGACCAAGGACCATAAAATAACCACAGGAAAATGCAGCCAACTGGAGCTGAGGGGAACTCAGAGACCCCCATGAACAGTCCAGGTTACCAGGGCTCTTGGGTGTCAAATGGGAGGCGTAGGGGTGAGCCCAGCAGACAGGGCTGTAGGCCTCATCGACCAGACTCTCTGCTGGTCTGTGGTATGTGTGCAAGCTTTCACTTAAGAAAGGGGTTTCATTTTGTGGGTATGCACACACCCACAGATGTTTGGAGACTCCTACCCTAATCTACTAGCTCTCAGCACATGGTCCCTGGACCAGCAGCATCAGCATCACCCAGAAACGCAAATTCTTGCTACTCAGGAGGCTGAGGCAGGAGAATCACTTGAACCTGGGAGGCGGAGGTTGCAGTGAGCCGAGATCGAACCACTGCACTCCACCCTGGGTGACAATAGCAAAACTCAGTCTCAAAAACAACGACAAAAAAACACAAAGAGATGCAAGTTCTCAGGCCCATCCCAGACCTACTGAATGAACTCTGGGGATGGAGGCCAACTACGTATGTTTGAATAAGCCTTCCAGGTGACAGTGAGGCTGTGAGGCTCGCTAGAGTTTGAGAAGCACTGAGCTAGTCCAAGGATGTAGGAAAATTGAGACCTACTTGTTGAGTCAAGGGCAGGGCTGGGAAGAGAACCCTCTTCTCCCGGTGGAAAGCCGAGCATTTGGAGGCGGCCCCTGCCAACCCTCCTCTCTCGCCCCTCCATCTCCTTCTCAGGCGCCATGCTGCCGCTGTTGCTGGGCCTACTGGGCCCGGTGGCCTGCTGGGCCTTGGGCCCGGCCCCCGGCCCGGGCTCCTCTGAGCTGCGCTCTGCCTTCTCCGCGGCACGCACCACCCCCTTGGAGGGCACGTCGGAGATGGCAGTGACCTTCGACAAGGTGTACGTGAACATCGGGGGCGACTTCGACGCGGCCACGGGCCAGTTCCGCTGCCGCGTGCCCGGCGCCTACTTCTTCTCCTTCACGGTTGGCAAAGCCCCGCACAAGAGCCTGTCGGTGATGCTGGTGCGGAACCGCGACGAGGTGCAGGCGCTGGCCTTCGACGAGCAGCGGCGGCCCAGCGCGCGGCGCGCCGCCAGCCAGAGCGCCATGCTGCAGCTCGACTACGGCGACACGGTGTGGCTGCGACTGCACGGCGCCCCGCAGTACGCGCTGGGCGCGCCCGGCGCCACCTTCAGCGGCTACCTGGTTTATGCCGACGCCGACGCCGACGCCGACGCCGACGCGCCTGCGCGCGGGCCGCCCGCGCCCCCCGAGCCGCGCTCGGCCTTCTCCGCAGCGCGCACGCGCAGCCTGGTGGGCTCGGACGCGAGTCCGGGACCGCGGCACCAGCCGCTGGCCTTCGACACCGAGCTCGTCAACATCGGCGGCGACTTCGACGCGGCGGCTGGCGTGTTCCGTTGCCGACTGCCCGGCGCCTACTTCTTCTCCTTCACCCTGGGCAAGCTGCCGCGCAAGACCCTGTCGGTGAAGCTGATGAAGAACCGCGATGAGGTGCAGGCCATGATTTACGACGACGGCGCGTCGCGGCGCCGCGAGATGCAGAGTCAGAGCGTGATGCTGGCCCTGCGGCGTGGCGACGCCGTCTGGCTGCTCAGCCACGACCACGACGGCTACGGCGCCTACAGCAACCACGGCAAGTACATCACCTTCTCTGGCTTCCTGGTGTACCCCGACCTCGACCCCGCTGGCCCGCCAGGCCTCGGGGTCCGGGAGCTGCTGTGAGCCCCGGGCCGGAGAGGAGCCCGGGAGGGCCGGGGGTGGTGCATGCCGAGCCCGGTCCGCCGCGCGAACGCCCCGCGCGAGCGCGACGGCTGCTGGGCGCTCCTGAACTCTGACAATAAAGAAGAAAGCGGGCCCGCGCGGCACCCGACAGCCCACGCCCCTGCGCTGTCTTGACTACGATGGCTTCTCCGGGGACGGGCGGGCAGGCGCTGACTACCGGGGGCCCACAGGCCCGGGGACAGGGTTGGAGGTTGGAGAGCAGGGTCCCTTCAGACCCTGGGAGGGCGAGAAGGTGGGAATTTGGTGAAACCACGTTCGTTTAGCTCGTTGGGGCCGCCCTTTCATATCCTTGCCTTGTCCAGCCCTCCGACTCCTTATTGACCGATGACCTCAACCTTAGTACCCGGCCGATGCCTCTCTGTGACAAGGTACAGCACCCCATTGCCCCACTGGGGGCATGGAATTCAAGGAAACAGTGCATTTCTCCTTCCAGCAGGGTGTGGGAATGGAATGAGGAGTTGATACCTCCTTGTCCTGACTCTTGCCTTCCCTGGATGGGGAGAGTGATTTACCCAGAGCAGGGGACAGCTTACTTACTCCGACGTAGAATGACACAGGCTCTGGGAGGCCGAAACAGAACATTTAATGAGAAGAGCAACACAGAATCAGGGCCGCACCTGCTCCAGCCCACCTCCGCTTCCCTCTCCTTGGTCTTCTCCCAGCCTTACTCCCTCCTCTGAGGTGTTCACTCGACGCTTACTGAGATACTGCCTCCCTCCGCCTGCTTCCCTTCACTCCTCCAACACACAGAACTCAAGTCTAATCTATTCTCCCAACCCAGATGGGAATTTGGAGGCTCAGGGACCCCAGATCCTTGGTTGTGTTTAAAAGGGGGTGCTCAGCACCTAAAGGATTCCTGTGAATTCCACAGGACCGTTACAGACTGCCAGGGTAGGAGTTGGAGGATCTGACCTGGCCTTACTTGGGACAGCTTCCCTTTCAGCATCTCTTGAACACACTTCTCAATCCTGACTCCAGTTGTCCACACACACCCTGCCTGCCTGTCATGCCCTTAGTTCTGTGCCTACTCCTTGGAACCCAAAGCCTGGGTTCTTAGCCTTTCAAGATCCCAGAAACAAGATCTGGTCAGGGTAAGCAGAGAGGGGATGTCGCAAGCCAAGCCCAGAGATCTGAACACAGTGAAAAGAACCAGGTGCTAGACAGAAGCCCCTGCCCAAGATGGGTCTGCCTGGGGAGTTGAGGGGGAGAGGAGAGGGGGTTTAGCAGGTGAAAGAGCAAAAGGGGAGGGTCAGGGGAAGGAGTCAAGGATGGAGGCCCAGGGCCCCAGGGAAGGGGGCTGGTCCTGGGGGCAGAAACCCTTGCACAGGTCCCAGAGTGTTTCCTGTGCCAGGAGAGTGAAGACTTGGGCCCAGCGGCCCCGTTCCTCAGCCTCACTAGCTGCATGGAGCCGGTAGATGCAGGACAGGGCCGTGAGGAGCAGATGTTCAAAGTCCCAAGTGCTAAGAGGAGGCCCCTTCCGCTGGTCCTGGAGCTGCTGCAGCCGCTGCTCAGCGCCCTCCAAGTCACTGGGCACGTGGTGCTGCAGGAGGAGCCTGAGTCGGCGGCCTGGGTGTGTGGAGGCTAGTTCCTCGTCTTGGATGTGCAGCTGCCCCATGACATCCAGCTCCAGCCCAGCCCAGAGCAGCTGCAAGGGGAGCCATGTAAGGGGTAGGCTGTGGCCTGGGGAGCAGGGCAGGGAGCAAGAGTGGGCTGGGGGAGGGGGCAAAAGCAGGCAGTAGGACCCATGCTGGCTTGCCCCCCCAACCCTAGCAGACCCACCCTGAGACATCCCCCTTCCCAACCCTGAGCTTAGGGACCTCTGGACATGCCCACCCCCATGTCCCAGGCTGGGAGGAAAGACCTCAAACATCACTTCCGGGACCTCTGGCTCCTGCAGGCCACCTCCCACGCTGGTGCTGTCCATGGGCTGCCCTGGGGCAGCAGAGAGGAGTCAGGCCCCTGCCATGCTACACTGTGAACACCCAACCTCCCAGAAGTGCCCCTCTGCTGCCTGGTAGGGGTCCCGAGCAGTTCATCATGCTACAAAAGGGCAGCAATGCCATCCCATGCCCTCTTTTCCCCTCCCTCTCATGCACACACATGCACATTGACATTCACCCTCCCAAGCATAGGTCTTGTGATCTCAAAAGCATCATCCCAAGCCCAGTTACCATGTTGGCAAATGCCCAGGACTCCTCCTTTAACTTGCACAATGCCCTTGGTAAAAAGCTCCAGGCCAACGGGTCACAAGACCCTTCCCCACCCTCCTCCCCTCCCTATAATCATCTGAGGACAGTCACCTAAAACAGCGCCAGTGACTCTCCCAAGGAAAAGGACCTCTTTGGGAATAGCCTACTCATTCCCTGTTCCTCCTCAGCGGTAGATCTTTGTGAGGTAGCGAGGACAGGGCAGGGGAGGATGTCTGTGGCAGCTCTCTCCAGCCCACACCTTGGGATGTTGCCTCACCCTTGCAATGTTTGTTCCAAGCCCAGGCAGGTCAAAAGACCCTGCTTTGGGCATCAGTGGGAATGAGCCCAGGGCCAGCATTAAGAGCACTTAAGGCTATCTCCCTAGGTGTCACCTGTACCTTTTCAGTTATGAGGGTGGGGCCCACACTATCACCCATCACAGCACACATCAGCCTGGTACCCACCATGCCCACACTTCCTATGCCCAGCTAGCCTCCGCAACCGTTAACTGCTGTCAGCTGGCAGCCTTCCTTGGCTCCTCTCCACCCACCTGAAGCCCTGGTACCTGCATGGTGCTGGGTTGTAGACACAACAGAGAGGAGACAAATGGCTACCACCAGGCAAGCCAGGAACTGCAGGGTCACAGCCATGCTTCACCACGTCCTCTGAGTCTCTCTCTGTTCAGCAGCTCTCTGCTCCCTCAGCTGCCTGCCACACACCTCGGCTTCAACTTTCCACTGCTGGCTGCTCCAGACTCTGTAATGCGTATCAGTCTTCAGTGCTCAACAGGGAGGGGCTGGCTGTGGCCTTGGTCACCTCCCAAGAGCTCTTTCCATTCTTTAGAAATGGGGAATCTGGTTGTTGGCAGGAACCTGGCTCCCTGCTTGTCAGGCCCTCAGCTTGTTCCTGCCCAGATGGGCGGTATGCTTAGTTAATAGGAAAAAGGTGTTTGGTAGCAAATAGCTCTGGCTTGGCCCTCCCAAAGGGTAGGAAAGCCCAAGCAGTAGGACCACCTTACTGTCTTCACCCTCAAAACATCCTGCAACCAAGGCTAGCCCTGACACCCCGTCTGGCCCAGCCCAGCCTCCAGGAGCCCCTCAGCTGCCAAAAGCATCAGCTGCAGTCTTCCAACTGCATGGTGGGCTGGCTGGCCGGCCCTACACACAGGCAGAGCCAAGCACTCCCCTCTCAGGCACTGCTACAGGCTGAACAGATGCAATCAGCTGGGCTAGGGAGTACTGTCCCCTGGCAGACAGACAAATCTGCAGCTCCTGAGTAGTTTTTGCCCCACCCTGGGACTTCTTGTTTCCTAACAACATTCTTAATTCAGGGCGAGCACAGTGGCTCATGCCTGCAATTCCAGCACTTTAGGAGGCCAAGACAGGAGGATGGCTGAGCCCAGTTCAAGACAAGTCTGGGCAACATGGTGAGATCTCATTTCTACAAGTAAAAAAATTAGCTGGGTGTGGTGGTAGACACCTGTGGTCCCAGTTAGGAGGCTGAGGTGGGAGGATCACCTGAGCCCAGGCAGTCTAGACTGCAGTAAGCCCTAATCACACTGCTGTACTCACTCTAGCCTGGGTGACAGAGCAAGACCTTGTCTCAAAAAACCCCCACCATTCTCAGCTCAGGCCAAAAACCAGGAAGACCCAAGTGATGGGCTACCATGCCACACCATCTTGAGCCCTGTGGACTATGAGAACTTTTTTTTTTTTTTTTTTTTTTTTTTTTGAGACAGAGTTTCGCTCTTGTTACCCAGGCTGGAGTGCAATGGCACGATCTCGGCTCACCGCAACCTCCGCCTCCTGGGTTCAAGCAATTCTCCTGCCTCAGCCTCCTGAGTAGCTGGGACTACAGGCACGCGCCACCATGCCCAGCTAATTTTTCGTATTTTTAGTAGAGACGGGGTTTCACCATGTTGACCAGGATGGTCTCGATCTCTCGACCTCGTGATCCACCCGCCTCGGCCTCCCAAAGTGCTGGGATTACAGGCTTGAGCCACCGCGCCCGGCGAGAACTTTTGATTACAGCTCCAGAATCGCTCTCCGAAATACATGTGGCCAGGCATGGTGGCTCACGCCTATAATCCCACCACTTAGGGAGGCCGATGTTTGTGAATCATTTAAGGCCAGGAGTTCAAGACCAGCCTGGGCAACGTGGTGAAACACTATCTCTGCAAAAAATACAAAAATTAGCTGAGCGTGGTAGCACGCATCTGTAATCCCAGCTTCTCAGGAGGCTGAGGTGGGATAATCGCTTGAGCCTGGGAGGTGGAGGTTGCAATGAACCGAGACAGCACCACTGCACTCCAGTCTGGGTGACAGCGAGACTCCATCTCAAAAAACATAAAAGACTCCCTGGTTTAGTAGTCTCTCTAAGGGAGCAGGGAGACACCCCTGCTTGCCTGTGTCCCCCATCAAAGTATCACTTCTCCCCATTACACAAACACATGAAGTGGTGAGTCTAAGTAGGAATTTATTTACATGGACACTAAATTATAGGTAAGGGGCTTTCTAGGATCCACACGCCTTCCCTGGAGCTACTTGGCTTCAGGCTTCTTGTCTCCTGCTTCAAGCTTGAGACTCTCCGGGGGTTGACGATAGATTGGGAAAGCCTCCCAGGGGCTGTTCAAGTCAAATTTGCGGAACTCTTGGGCCAACTCCACTGGCTCTGCCACCACTCGCTTCACCTCATCGTCATAGCGTAACTGCAGGAAGAAAAGGCAGGCTTGAGCACTGAGGAAGTCCTTAACATAGCTACAAAGGAACCTACTTTCACAAGGCTGTGGGTTATTTCCCCAGCCCAGGTCGTCTCCATCACTGACTCCTGTTCCAACCTCTGTCGGTAAGTCTACATCCACACCTGTTACGCATCAGATCACATTCCAATCAGTTAGAGCAGGTGTCCCCAAACTGCGGCCCCCTGAGGCCATTTATCCGGCCCCCTGCCGCACTTCAGGAAGGGGCCCCTCTTTCATTGGTGGTCAGTGAGAGGAGCACAGTATGTGGCGGCCCTCCAACGGTCTGAGGGACAGTGAACTGGCCCCCCGTGTAAAAAGTTTGGGGACGCCTGAGTTACAGCATGTGATTCCAAAATGTAGGATACCTTTCATGCCCTGTCCACCACTGCCACATCATGAGCTCTGAACTGACTCCGCTCACCCACCCAAACACTCTTATAAGGGGTAATGGTAAGCATTTGCCCAGGATTAGGGAGTAGTTGGTGACTGAAAAGAGTAAACCTAAACTGGCAGATACACAACTTCAGGCCCTGTGCCCTTGGCATATTCACTGTCCAGTTCTAAAGCAGTACATTTGACATAGCTTTTCTTGTCACTGGAAGGTCAAATGCATAAGGTAAGGATCATTAGGTGCTAGAGTGAAGAGGCAAACCAGGTGAGGCAAATAAGATAGCAGGAGTTGGGTGAAGGGAGAAGCAAGGGAGACAGCCCTGCCCAGAAGTAGCCCAAGAGGAAACTAGGCACATGCATAGCACTATCACAGCAGGAGTGCCTGGGGACTAAAGGAGCAGGGCTGGAGCACCACATTTCTCAGCATTTCTTTTTTTTTTTTTTTTTGGTACCCAAAAATCCAATTCTAATGTCTCAGCACTTCTAAACAGTTACTTTGCTATAAAATTCATGAGTGATAATGTAACACATTATCTTCCTGCAAATAAACAATCTGCAGCACCACTGAAATTCTTTATTCACGTTACTGGTCCCACTTCAGAGATAATTTTTGACGACTAAACATTTGGTGTCTTCCCTGTCACTACTTTCCCAGAGACTCAAGGCAGGGTAAAATAGTCCTCTACTTTCATGTTTTAGGGACAGACTGTGTCCTCAAAGTTGCCTTGATCATTAAAATGATTATTACCATATGGATAACACTGGCCAGGTGCGGTAACTAACACCTTTAGTAACTCATCTGCCCAAGAAGGGCAGATGGCTTGAGCTCAGGAATTCGAGACCAGTCTGGGCAACATGGAGAAACCCCATCTCTATAAAAATTACAAAAATTTGCCGGGTGTGGTGGTGCATGCCTGTAGTCCCAGACACTCAGAGGGCTGAGAGGTAGACTGCAGTGAGCTGTAATAGCACCACTGCCCTCCAGCCTGGATGACAGAGTGAGACCCTGACACACACAGACACACACACACAGCATCAATTCTCTCACACACACACACACACACACACACACACACACACACAAACACGGAGCATGGATTGAGCAATACACCAGCCTTCATACATACATTATTTATTTATTCAGAGACAGGGTCTCACTCTGTCGCCCAGGCTGGAGAGTGGTGGTGTGATCTCAGCTCACTGCAACCTCCACCTCCTGGGCTCAAGTGATCCTCCCACCTCAGCCTCTTAAGCAGCTGGGACCACAGGTATGTACCACCATGCCCTGCTAGTTTTTGTATTTTTTTGCAGAGATGAGGTTTCGCCATGTTGTCCAGGCTGTTCTCAAACTCCTGGGCTTAAGCACTCCTCCTGTTTTGGCCTCCCAAAGTGCTGGGATTACAGGAATGAGCCTATATACATTATTTAACGCTTGCCACAAATATGTTAGTTAAGTGCTATTACTATTGCCATTTCAAGATAAGAAAGCTGGCCAGATGCAGTGGCTCACTCTTGTAATCCCAGCACATTGGGAGACGGAGGCAGGTGGATCACAAGGTCAAGAGTTTGAGACCAGCCTGGCCAATATGGTGAAACCCAGTCTCTACTAAAAATACAAAAATTAGCCGGGCATGGTGGTGGGCGCCTATAGTCCCACTTACTCAGGAGGCTGAGGTAAGAGGATCACTTGAACCCAGGAGGCGGAGGTTGCAGGGAGCTGAGACTGCACCACTGCACTCCAGTCCAGGCAACAGAGTGAGACTCAGTCTCAAATAAAAAAAAGAAAAAACAGGCCGGGCGCGGTGGCTCAAGCCTGTAATCCCAGCACTTTGGGAGGCCGAGGCGGGTGGATCACGAGGTCGAGAGATCGAGACCATCCTGGTCAACATGGTGAAACCCCGTCTCTACTAAAAATACAAAAAATTAGCTGGGCATGGTGGCACGTGCCTGTAATCCCAGCTACTTGGGAGGCTGAGGCAGGAGAATTGCCTGAACCTAGGAGGCGGAGGTTGCGGTGAGCCGAGATCGCGCCATTGCACTCCAGCCTGGGTAACAAGAGTGAAACGCCGTCTCCAAAAAAAAAAAAAAAAAAAAAAAAAAAAGAAAAAACAAAAAGATGAGAAATCTGAGTCACAGTCAAACCAAGTAACTTGCTCCAGGTTACAAAAATGAAGCTAGGATCTGAATCCAGGGCCCATGGTCTTAAATACAGACCGTATTTCCTGCCATCCCCAGGGATCCCCTGGGTTCCCTGCAAGTCCCTCCCTGAGGCTGCTATCCATCCCAGTTCCAAGGCTCCTACCTCAACATAGCCAGATAGAGGGAAGTCTTTCCGGAAAGGATGTCCCTCGAAGCCATAATCTGTCAGGATCCTTCTTAGATCAGGGTGGTTAAAAAAGAAGACTCCAAACATGTCCCAGACCTAGGAAAGAGAGGACCTCAGGCAGCCAATCCATCAAGACTAACAACAGGGTAAGGGGGCTACACTGCATTCCACAGTCTCAACTAGTTCTGCAACTCTGGCCCAGAGGCAGCTCCACCATGTGCAGTAACTCACCTCCCTTTCATACCAGTTGGCTGCCTTGAACACAGAGGTAATGGACTCAATGGGTGTCAGCTCATCTGTGTAGGTCTTCACACGGATCCGTGAGTTGAAGCGCAGAGACAACAGGTTGTAGACAATCTAAGGAGAACAGAAGTGGAGGGCTGAGATGGGGGTCCCTGGTTGGGAGAGTTCTGCCTTGTGACCCTACCTTCTATTCTGAATCTCAAACCTCAAGATTTCCCTAGGCTTACAACTACTTCCAAAGGCCCAGACCACAACTGTAGCTTAGCATGTCAGCATGCCTGTGTTTCCTCATGCTATTCCGTTTGTCTGGAAGATTTCCCTGGTTCACCTCACACCAACCTTCACCAAGGCTAATTCCTGGCCGCCTGCTCATGTGTTAAGATTCAGCACAAACTCTCTCTCCAAAGAAGCCTCCCAGACAGGGCCAAGTGCCCCTCCTGCTTTTTTTTTTTGTCTTCTTTGTCAACTTCCTGTTGATTTGCAGCTTTCTTTTTTTTTTTTTTTTTTTGAGACGGAGTTTCGCTCTTGTTACCCAGGCTGGAGTGCAATGGCGCGATCTCGGCTCACCGCAACCTCCGCCTCCTGGGTTCAGGCAATCCTGCCTCAGCCTCCTAAGTAGCTGGGATTACAGGCACGTGCCACCATGCCCAGCTAATTTTTTTGTATTTTTAGTAGAGACGGGGTTTCACCATGTTGACCAGGTTGGTCTCGATCTCTCGACCTCGTGATCCACCCGCCTTGGCCTCCCAAAGTGCTGGGATTACAGGCTTGAGCCACCGCACCCGGCCGCGATTTGCAGCTTTCTTAAAGCATCCCTCTAATGTCCTATGTACTAGATGTTACTATGGTAAGCTGTTTGGATGTCTTTCTCCTTCCCTAGAGTGTGGGGAACTCCTGAAGGACAAATACTTAGCGTTATTTCTCTCCATCCCAGGGTCTGGCAAACAGTAGATAATCAGTAACATATTAATAGCTGTATGTATTGAGAACTTATAGTGTGCTAGCAAGTTACTTGAACTATCTCACTGGATCCTTACAACCATTCTATAAGATAGGGGCAGCTTTATACTTATTTTCCAAGTAAAAAAACTAAAGCTCATAAAGATTAAATAAAGGCTGGGAGCAGCAGCTCACGCCTGTAATTCCAGCACTTTGGGGAGGCCAAGGCGGGCAGATCACGAGGTCAGGAGGGCATCCCAGCCAACATAGTGAAACCCCATCTCTACTAAAAAAAAATACAAAAAATTAGCCAGGCATGGTGGTGTGTGCCTATAGTCTCAGCTACTTGGGAGGCTGAGGCAGGGGAATCTCTTGAACTGGGAGGCGGAGGTTGCACTGAGCCAACATGGTGCCACTGCACCCTAGCCTGGTGACAGAGCTACCCCCAAACCTTCTCAGATCTCCCGACTGACCTCAAAACGGTTCTGCCGAGTTGGGACGTCCACTGCTGTCAAGTCAGCCAGGGACTTGAACTGTGCATTGGTGTGATCTTTGAGGAAAGTCAGCACTGGGATGATGCCATCAGGATGGATACAGATCTCTAACTCATTGAATAAGGCCACCTGCACACATGGAAGGAAGGGGAGAGGGAACAAAGAGCTACTGAAGGAACAGCTAACTTCAGCTGGAGTCACCTGGTTTAATGCTGAAAGAAAAGTACAAGTCTATAGTGTCTTTGACACTAGTCTGCCCACTCCCACATGCCCTGAGAATATGATTCTTTCTTGGCCCAGCTCCAAATAACAGTAAGGATTACCTGAACTTGCTGGACATACTTGGGCAGGATTTCAGCCACATACTCTCCAAAAGCTGAGAGCTGCTTGTGGGCCACATCATTCCGTGGTCTGACAGTGGCTGGAAGGAAAAGGCATATTTAACAAAGAAAATAGAGAAGGCAAAAGCCAGTCCTGCATCCAGTTTCTTGGGCTTGAAAGGGATGTCAAATCAGGAAAGGCTCTCTGCGGCACCTTGAGAAAGATGCATGTGAAAGATTTCCCTTCCAGGGAATAGAGTGATGAAAACTTGGAGAAAATGCCACCTTAACTACACAGTCCTCAGAAAGACTTATTACAGCAGGTGGGGCATTTGCCTCTTCTCAAAATTATTCCATGGTTCATCCTTCACAATGCGTGCATTTCTGCTAAAGTAGCAGTCTCAGTTCTCCTATCAGACTAAGAGCTCTTTGAGGATGGGAACCAAACTTTTGCTTCTCTGTATCTCCTTAGCGCTTAAGTTTATACCAGTTTCTCAAGAACTCCAGGGCTTGAAGAGCCCTCAGACACTGTCTCCTTGAAACCTTGTTTTTGGGGGGCGGGGGCGGGTATCGAGAAAACTGAGGCCCAGAAAAGGGGAAATGCCAGGTCTCATAACTCACAGTCCGGTATTTTGACTGTAACGTAGTATGTCCACACTCATGCAACCCTAAACCACTGAGCACTCACACATCACAAGCTACAGAATAATGTTTACGTGTTCTCTGCCTTTGGCAGCAGGCAGGCCTGCTTTGTCATTCACTAGGTCTGTGACCCTAGGCAGTTTAATTCTTTGGACTTGTTTCGTGATCTATAGTAAGAAGAATAAGATGCTATCTACCCCCATAAGGCTGTTGTGAAGACGAAATAAGATCTCACTAAAACGCTTAACGAGGTGCCAGGCACACATTAAGCCTCAATTAACGTGAGGTACTGTTATTACAGGGCTCTGAGGCCTAAATGTTTCATTGCTAGCTTTCAAAGAGCTGACAGTTTAATCAGACAAAAAGGGGATCACTGAAACGGACAAGGGACAATCAGGGCCATAACAGAGTCCCCTAAGGGCACAGGGAGGGCTCGATTCTTAATGCAGGGAGAAGACCACTGCAGTCAGGTCTCCAAGATTTGCCAGGAGGACGCAGGGAAGGGCATCCTAGGGCAAGGACAGGCATCTAGGGCCCCCCGCCAGTAGTTCAAAGAAGAGCGTTGCCCGCACATACTCACGGCGCGTGTCGGCCCCGGCGCTCTCACGCCTCACCGGCAACAGAACCGAGGGTCGCCGAGCCCCTGCACAGGAAGATTAAAAGGTACAAAAGCACGGGGTGAGGCCTGAGGAGCTCTCTCCGCTGGGCGCGCCGCTGCTCCTGACCCTGGTCTCAGCTGGCTGCCCCTGCTCACCCCTGGTCAGCGCCGCGGCCCCCACGATCCCGCGCCACCAGAGTCTGGTTGCCAACGCCGCCATGTTCCCTGGACACAAGGCAGCGGAAGAAAAGACGGCAGGACACGAAGCCGCAAGGGCACAGACCGGAAGCGGAAATGTGCAGCAGATCTTCTTCCGGGCGGACGTGGAGCCGGAAGCAGAGGTTCCGGGATCCGGGATGAAAGGAGGGAACGCAGGTGAGAAAGCGAGACAGGCAGGTAGGGGAACCGTGAGGTGAGCGTAGTCCTAACTCCGTGTGGCAGAGCCTGGAGAGAAGTTGAGGACGCTGAAGAACCAGACGGGTGAGAGGATGGGAGGGGGCGGGCGTTCTGAGTTCTACGCTCCACAACTCCTCCCCCGCTCTCTCAGCCAAGCTTTTGACGAGGGCTGGCGGGCCCGAGCAGGAAGAACGGTTTCCCTGGCGACCGTTTCCCAGGCGACTTTAGGTGGAGCGGGGACAACTGGGCGATGGGCCTCCTAGTGCCCCGGCCTGGGGGCGGCTGGACTCTGGAGTTCTGGGACGCAGCCATAGGGAGTCATTCGAGCAAGCGGGGAAGTGTAAGGGAAGCAGGCCAGGAGAGAGCAAATGTGAGACCGACGGATATCCCAGACTAGGCCTTATGCTGGAGCGTCTGAACTCCATGCGCGGAGCAAGAGAGGACCTGGCCACTAGGCCGGGGCAGGGGGTCCTTTTTGTCTGATTCTACTGCCACTGACCTTCACTAGTTCTATGCCCCAGTTATTTGATTAGGCTTTTACGTTCACAGACCTTCCCCAGCCCTTTGCTGTCATATATTGACCTAAATCCCAAGTCCTTTGTTAACATCACGGAAAGGAATTATTCCATGTTTTTTCAGGAGAACACCCAGAGTTGGAACTGATTTATTTCGTTAGTAGAGGGACACCACTGGAGAGAATGAACCCAGCTTTTGTTAAAGGATAGCATCAGGGACATAATGGGCAGGGCCAGGACTAAGGGCAATCTGGACCCACTTTGTTCTTACTTTTTCCTTTTCCCTTACTGAGTTGGCCAGTTGGATTCACAGACTATGGCTGTGAATTCCTCGTTACTCAAGGTGGTGTTGCTTTGCAGACAGCTGGCAGAGAGAGAAATTGGCTAGCATGGAATCACCAGAGGAGCCTGGAGCATCCATGGATGAAAACTACTTTGTGAACTACACTTTCAAAGATCGGTCACACTCAGGCCGTGTGGCTCAAGGCATCATGAAACTATGTCTAGAGGAGGAGCTCTTTGCTGATGTCACCATTTCGGTGGAAGGTCGGGAGTTTCAGCTCCATCGGCTGGTCCTCTCAGCTCAGAGCTGCTTCTTTCGATCCATGTTCACTTCCAACCTGAAGGAGGCCCACAACCGAGTGATTGTGCTGCAGGATGTCAGCGAGTCTGTTTTCCAGCTCCTGGTTGATTATATCTACCATGGGACTGTGAAACTTCGAGCTGAAGAGTTACAGGAAATTTATGAGGTGTCAGACATGTATCAGCTGACATCTCTTTTTGAGGAATGCTCTCGGTTTTTGGCCCGCACAGTGCAAGTGGGAAACTGCCTTCAGGTGATGTGGCTGGCAGATCGGCACAGTGATCCTGAGCTCTATACTGCTGCCAAACACTGTGCCAAGACCCACCTGGCCCAGCTGCAGAATACAGAGGAATTTCTCCACTTGCCCCACCACCTACTCACAGATATCATCTCGGGTAAGTTTAGGGAAGGGACACATCACACCCAGTCACTTGGCTATGATGTTTAGTGAATGTTCTAGTCTAGGAGAAAGAAACCGTCAAACTTCCTGGTGTTAGTTAACATTATTATTATTATTATTATTATTTTTGAGACGGAGTTTCGCTCTTGTTACCCAGGCTGGAGTGCAATGGTGCCATCTCGGCTCACCACAACCTCCGCCTCCTGGGTTCAGGCAATTCTCCTGCCTCAGCCTCCTGAGTAGCTGGGATTACAGGCACGTGCCACCATGCCCAGCTAATTTTTTTGTATTTTTAGTCGAGACGGGGTTTCACCATGTTGACCAGGATGGTCTCGATCTCTCGACCTTGTGATCCACCCGCCTCGGCCTCCCAAAGTGCTGGGATTACAGGCTTGAGCCACTGCGCCCGGCTATTCCTACATTCTTACTGAGATAACTTGCCCAGAGAGATTGAGTTGGGATTCACAGTAATTGCTGTCAGAGACACAGTGTGTTAGAGGAAGAAGCCAGGAAATTGAAAGCACAACACTTGACCACACACAAAGTAGTGAGGAGTAATTTGTATTATACTCTAATTACTCCTGTACTTTTCATGTCCCTGTGGGTCCACTTACCTATGTAAATTGGTGATGAGGCAAGATATCTAAGACTAAAAACTTTTTTTTTTTTTTAGACCGAGTTTTGTTCTTGTTACCCAGGCTGGAGTGCAATGGCGCGATCTCAGCTCACCGCAACCTCCGTCTCCTGGGTTCAAGCAATTCTCCTGCCTCAGCCTCCCGAGAAGCTGGGACTACAGGCATGGGCCACCATGCCCAGCTAATTTTTGTATTTTTAGTAGAGACGGGGTTTCACCATGTTGACTAGGATGGTCTTGATCTCTTGACCTCGTGATCCACCCGTCTCGGCCTCCCAAAGTGCTGGATAGTAGGCATGAGCCACCGCGCCCGGCCTAAAAACTTTTTTTTTTTTTTGAGACAGAGTTCAGCTGTTGTTGCCCAGGTTGGAGTGCACTGGTGCGATCTCAGCTCACTGCAACCCCCACCTCCCGGGTTCAAGCAATTCTCCTGCCTCAACCTCCCAAGTAGCTGAAATTATAGGCATGCGCCACCACATCTGGCTAATTTTGTATTTTGTATTTTTTTTTTTTTTTTTTGAGATGGAGTTTCACTCGTTACTGAGGCTGGAGTGCAATGGCGCGATCTTGGCTCACCGCAACCTCCGCCTCCTGGGTTCAGGCAGTTCTCCTGCCTCAGTCTCCTGAGTAGCTGGGACTACAGGCATGCGCCACCATGCCCAGCTAATTTTTTGTATTTTTGGTAGAGACAGGGTTTCACCATGTTGACCAGGATGATCTTGATCTCTTGACCTTGTGATCCACCTGCCTCGGCCTCCCAAAGTGCTGGGATTACACACGTGAGCCACCGCACCTGGCCCTAATTTTGTATTTTTAGTAGAGACAGCGTTTTTCCATGTTGGTCAGGCTGGTCCCAAACTCCTGACCTCAAGTGATACACCCACCTCGGCCTCCCAAAGTGTTGGGATTACAGGCGTGAGCCCACTGAGCCTGGCCTAAAAACTTTTTTAGTGATGGGCTAAAATTAGGAAACAATCCTGATCCAGCAAGTGAGATAAAACCGTATTTAAGGTGTGGGCTCAGCCAGGCGTGGTGGCTCACACCTGTAATCCCAGTACTTTGGGAGGCCAAGGCAGGACAATCACTTGAACCCAGAGACAGAGGTTGCAGTGAGTCCAGACTGCGCCACTGCACTCCAGCCTGGGCAACAGAATAAGACTCTGTCTCAAAAAGCAAGCAAACAAACAAACAAACAAAAAAACGGGCTGGGCGCGGTGGCTCATGCCTGTGATCCCAGCACTTTGGGAGGCTGATGTGGGCAGATCACCTGAGATTGGGAGTTCAAGACCAGCCTGACCAACATGATCAGAAACCTGTCTCTACTAAAAATACAAAAAAATTAGCTGGGCATGGTGGTACATACCTGGAATCCCAGATACTCAGCAGGCTGAGGCAGGAGAATTGCTTGAAACTGGGAGGTGGAGGCTGTAGTGAGCTGAGATCGCACTATTGCACTCCAGTCTGGGTGACAGAGCGAGATTCCATCTCAAAAAAAAAAAAAGAAAGAAAAGTGTGAAGTCTACAGCCTGCTAGGTTGCTTCCATGGCAGATGGGAGCATATTGAGCCATCTATTTTGATTTTAAAAAGCAGGGTACATACTCTGGTTTCTCTTCAGATTGTATAAATCTTTTGCCTTTTACTAAAGATTTCCATAGAGAGGAACAGTTATGAGTCTTTACCCAATTTTTTGAGGCCTCATATAACACCCGAGACAATCTTTAAAAAAGGGCAAGGCACACCAGGCATAGTGGCTCATGCCTGTCAGCACTTGGAAGGCCAAGGAGGGAGGATCACTTGATACCAGGAGTTTAAGACCCGCCTGGTCAACATAGCGAGACCTTGTCTCTACAGAAAATAAGAAAAGAGCCAGGCCTGGTGGCCATGCACCTGCAGTTGCAGCTACTTGGGAGGCTGAAGCAGGATTGCTTGAGCCTGGGAGGTTGAGACTATGATGACCATAATTGCACTCCTGCCTGAGTGACAGGGTGAGACCCTGCCTCAACAAAAAAAGGGGCAATTTTAGGTTAATTTCATGTATTTGTATATATATGCATGCCCAGTGACAGTCTAATAAAGTGGTTCACATCTTTAAAGTCCCTTTCTCCGAATTTCTTTTTTGGAATGTCATTGACAATGCCTTCCTCTGACTCTGACAGATGGAGTTCCATGTTCTCAGAACCCAACAGAGGCAATAGAAGCCTGGATCAACTTTAATAAAGAGGAAAGAGAGGCTTTTGCAGAGTCACTCAGGGCAAGCTTGAAGGTAAGGCAAATATCTTAATTGTTAAGACTGCATACTCTCCGTGGGTTCTGGCCATCAGTTAAACCTGGCCTTTTTTTTTTGGAGACGGATTCTTGATCTGTCACCCAGGCTGGAGTGCAGTGGCATGATCTCAGCTCACTGCAACCTCCACCTCCCAGTTTCAGGCTATTCTTCTGCCTCAGCCTCCCGAGTAACTGGGATTAGGTGCTGCCACCACACCCAACTAATTTTTGTATTTTTAGTAGAGATGGGGTTTCACCATGATGGCCAGGCTGGTTTGAAACGCCTAACCTCAGGTGATCCACCGGCCTTTGCCTCCGAAAGTGCTGGGATTACAGTGTGAGCCACTGCGCCTGACCTACCTGGCCTTATTTTTCTGATGAGATCGAGTTTCGCTCATCACCTAGGCTAGAGTGCAGTGGTGCAATCTTGGCTCACTACAACCCCTACCTCCTGGGTTCAAGCGATTCTCCTGCCTCAGCCTCCTGAATAGCTGGGATTTCAGGCACCTACCACCATGCCCAACTAATTTTTGTTTTGTTTTTGTTTTTTTTTTTTGAGACGGAGTTTCGCTCTTGTTACCCAGGCTGGAGTGCAATGGCGCGAATCGGCTCACCGCAACCTCCGCCTCCTGGGTTCAGGCAATTCTCCTGCTTCAGCCTCCTGAGTAGCTGGGATTACAGGCACGCACCACCATACTCAGCTAATTTTTTGTATTTTTAGTAGAGACGGGGTTTCACCATGTTGACCAGGATGGTCTTGATCTCTTGACCTCGTGATCGGCCTTCCAAAGTGCTGGGATTACAGGCGTGAACCACCGCGCCTGGCTTGCTATCTCTTTTTAAAATTTTTTATATTTATTTATTTTTTAAAATAAGGCATCTCTGGCTTTTAAGTTGGTATGAACTGAGGGGGAAGGATGTCTTTATAACCCCAGAACCACCAATCTATGAGCATTCAAAGTTCCTTGAGAACTACTTTCTTTCGTACGTAGCAGAGCAGCTCTCTCGCTGCGATCTATTGAAAGTCAGCCCTCAACACAAGGGCTGACTTGTGTAAAAAAAAAAAAAAGAAAAAAAGAAAAAAAAAAAAGGAAAAAAGAGAACTACTTTCATCAAGTTAACAATCTTAATCACCCTTTGTCTGAAGCACTAGCTTATGAGAGTTTTTTTAAAAGCTGCAAGGATGAATACAACAGATTCTCCTTCCCATCATAAATTGCTTCAACAAAAGTTACTAGAGGAGAGTCTAATGACATACAGTAATTAGAGAGTAGTATGTGAAAGCTAGATAAAGTGTGAGGGCCAGGATCTTAAGGATCAGTGTCTTATCTGAGCCTTAGCCTAGAACTTACAGCTGTCATGTAATTTTAATTTTGCCA